GTGTGTGTGTGTGTGAGAGAGAGAGAGAGAGAGAGAGAGAGAGAGAGAGAGAGAGAGAGAGAGAGAGAGAGAGAGAGAGAACACCTTCGTCCCCCACTGTTGCCAAGGCCGGTCGGTGTGTCGCGTCGCGCTCTCTTCAACAGGATGCTCAAGCATATCAGCCGCGTCGCCTATGTCATTCCCACGCCGCGTTCCCACACCGCATGCACACGTATGTCGACCCCCGCGGCCGGCCTGCCCCTGAACGAGCCCCCCTTTCTCGACCTTTCGCCGCAGCCGCTCGATTTTTGGGGAACCGCGTACGGATCTTACTTGGCACCCGCTACCCAAGATATAGACCACTGGATCCCCCGATCGGCATCAAGCAGAGTATGCTATGTTCGTAGGGGAGGGGGCTGAGGGGAGGCACGGGGGATTGGTCCGCTTTATTCCTGGTGCTGCCGGCCGTCCCCTGGCCGGTATCCTGCAGGCTCAAGGGGCCGTAAAAACACAGCTCTGGTATGCTACGGGTTTCCCCGTATGCCTATAGGTAGGAGTAGTGGTAGGTAGGTACTGTGAGGAAAAATTGAGAGAAGAGTAAAAAAAAAGAAAAAAAAGAAAAAAAAAAGGGATGTGTACGCGGACGCGTGGACGAGCACGGAGAGAACACAAAAAAAAAAAGTGTGTGCATGGACATGCCCGGGGCTAGGTCCCATTTGCACGAATTAACCGATATTGACCGTAGATAACGAAGATCAAAGGCCAGAATCTCTTAATCCCTGCAAGTGGGACCTTGGCCCCGGAGACAACACAGAAAAAGCACGATGTGCGCTTGTACGGGGACGCCCAAACGGCACCTGACGAGGGGGAGGGGGGGAGGGGAACGCACACGTTCATCCTGCGGCCGATTCCACGCCACCGACACCAAAAAAGTCAGGGTTGTGGTATATCAGGGAAGCGGTCTGGATGTGTTTTCTGTCCATAGATAATTAGGCCCAAGGCCTTCCTGTTTTGTTTGGGAGTTCTACCTCCCTTTGTTCCCGGGTTGTTTGTTGAGGGATTCCCGGCCTCAAGTTTGCAAGCCGCGACCGCGGGCCTTCCCGTATACACGCCGCAGCCTTAGGGAGGTCGGCCAAGGGAAGGCCCGGTCGCTCCTTCTTGGCCGGAGCCCGCCAAGTACGGATTGTTACTCACGCAATAAGAAAAAAAAAAAAAATTATAAACACAAGAAAAAAAACTATATCGTCATTGCTTGTGGCTGCGCCGTAGGGGAGAGAGAGAGAGAGAGAGAGAGAGAGAGAGAGAGAGAGAGAGAGAGAGAGAGAGAGAGAGAGAGAGAGAG